TCGCCAAGTGTTTGAGTGAGTAGACCGAAAGTCTGTCTCGATCTCCCAGCACTTTGCAGGGGAGGCGATGGCTACAAATTCCTCCACGATTCCAACGGAAGTTCCATATGCATGGCGCAACCGTAGTCATTCTCATGACACCACCAAAACTTTGTAAAAATACTCGAATAACTTACCTTTTCAGACTTCATATCGAAAGCTTTCGACACTTGCTTTAGGTCTTGCTGAATTTCGCTGTAAAACCTCAACTCAGCCTTCAAATCCGTTGTTTTCTTTTCCAGCAGGGAAATGTTCACCTAAAATAGAAGCCTTTCTCAAATCTTATCCCGGAATCGGGAACCAACAAATCGATCGATTTCTCCAATCAACTACCTCTTTTTGACGACACATCTCCCTTAGGGCAGAGTTTTCTTGCCCAACATTTCGTAGGCATTCCTTCAATGCGATGTTTTGATTCCATAACTCACAATTTTCTCGCTAAAATACTTTAATTAAATTTGAATTAATTACCATAGCTGACTTGAAAAACAAAATATAAATATATATAATTGTATAATTATAAGTTCTCTCTTGTAGATATTATTGCTGAGTTCACAGACTACAGTTCTCAGACGGAGATAAGGTAAAGTAAGTGCTTCCACACGCGCTATCCCAAAGCTATTTATTCACTAATAAGTGATAATTACTGCCTCTGAGATATTATTATCAAATTGTTCTCGGGATACGGTATCGATTCGGCATCAAAAAAGTGTGGAAAATCAATGAATCGATAATTGAGATCAGAGAGCTGAAGTTGTTGCTCACCTGCTGCACTAGCCATGAATGGACGTCCGGTTCCTTGAGTGCTTCAGGATTGATCTGTGAGTGATTGTTTTGGCCCTTGAATTTTCGATTTCAACTCATCAATTCTTTCGACTTAAAGAAGGATGAACCCAGTTAGGGTAGCAGTAATGCTAGTAAATGTTTTGAAGGATAAAATGGTAGCTTGACTTACTTGGCTAGCGAATGGCCCTCTTGAGCCTGTAGGTTGCCACCCATTGCGAGGGCGTAATTGATTCTGAAATGACAAATACTTTAGTTTTGTCCGTTATTTACATCTATTGTTTAATACCTGAGCATTTACCTTCCACGAAAGGTGAACACAAACTCCAGCATCCATCCCGATAATGTCAGAGCTCTACTCTCAACCGGCTGGCCAATCCCACTTCCTATTCCCTATGAAAATTTATCCTACTCAGCGCTGTTCAGCCTTTTACCACCCCCCTCTCTACAAGTGTTCATCATTGTTTATCGTCAGTATCAATATATCAGCCCACAGATAACGCCAATCAATTCAGAGGCAACCAAAGAAAACATAGGTAAAACCCAAAAAAACCCCGTAAACAGCCGAGATTCATTTCAAAACTTATTCACAAGGTTCACAAGGTGAGAATTGGTTTCTATTAACCCAAGAGAATCGGCGACGAGGGCTGCCCCGGACTCTAGTCGCAGACTCAGATGTCAGATAAGGTGTCTGCAAGCTCTAACAAGGATCAGATTCCTGAACCGATCGTGATCAGGACAAACAGAATTTTCCTTTGAGCTATATAGTTCCACAGCCGACAAAGAGGGGCATGGCCTGCTGGAATACTACCGGACCTCCGACTTTCGGGTTAACAAACATCTACAATGAAACCACATATCTTCTTCTATTGCGAATGAAATAACGACTCTACGGCTTGCAGCTATGACCGTTCTCTTTGAGCTTACCTACCCTCCGATTAAACCTCTCACCTATGTAAGAATTCAAGAATTCCTTTGAGAAAGTCATTCGGGCTAGGAAATCCAATCAGGGAGTTTTTCCTGTGAGAGGGGTTCCCACCTATGAATTGTCTCATTGTCAGTCAAAAAACATCAAAGCTGAAGCGATCACAAAAGACGCGGTTCCGACTTTCTTTGTGCTTTTTTTCCAATGAAAAATCCAGCTTAGGGTGAAATAACCTCCAACAACCTTTGAAGTACGGCCCCGCCCCTTCAAAGGGTTTAAGAAAAAGTGAACGCTACCTCAAACTCGTGAATTTTCCGTTCCATCTCACTCAAACGTCGTCTAGTCTTTCGAAGATCGTCGCGTAATTGTGCATCTTCTCTATGCCCATGACGTATTTGTTGTTGAGGTAAATGTGACTGAAAACTGCGATTGTCATTGATTTATTGATCTAAATCATCTGATCACTGATCATTTTTGTCTTTCTAATTTGGTTTAACTACAAGCCCTTCTTCTTTATTTTATATTCTACCCTTTATCTTCAGATATCACCTGGTCTAATCTAACCATAAACAGCTGAATTGGTTCTCTTTTCCTTCGCCGCCTTCCTACCATTGAAGCGCGCGGTCGCAAAGCGGCTACGGTATTTCTCCCTTACTGCTTGTATTGGTACCTTACTAATCGTACGAGCTATGATTCTTAATGCTCTGTCACAGTAGAATCATCCTTTCAGAGTTGATGAGCAGTAAAAATACAATTTCGCCGCACCGCGACCGTTCGCTCAGTAGTTAGGTATTGCGACAGTGACAAACCGCCAAGGAAAATGGACTTCACGTGGAGGGACTTGCGCCGCTCTTCTCTGGCACTAAGGTGGAAATTCAGTCCGGCACTCGGTTCTTACAGTAACCCCCTGGCT